AGAAGTTAAATGTCCAAGAAAATCCTACTATGTGCTTTATAGTAATTCATGATTGTTAACATTGAAAAAACTCATAAAAAGTAATTACTAAATTTTAGTTTTTATATTGAATTGATTCAATATTTCAATGGAAATGAAAAGTATTAATCTAAATGTATAAACAATCAAGGTTCTCAGGGTGTTCAATTCCTACTGAATGATCAGTCAGGTAGAGGTTATACGAGTTATTAACCATCACAGTGAAGCACTTGACAACCACATTCCCTAAGTTTGCCTTATTTAATGATGCTGGAATACTTAAAGTATTTTCATTATTTCCTGGAAATACAGATATACATGTTTATTTTCTATCTCCTACTTTTGAATATCAATAATATTTTTATTCACCAAAAGAGAAAAATAAATACTTAATATTAAAGTCTATGTAAATGTAAATACAACTAAACATAATCAAAGGACACTAAAATGATAAGGATGATACATGCCACCTTGGGTCTCAATAATTGAAGAGTTGTAGAGATTCCATGTACAAAAATCAAATGATTTACTAATTTTTTCTGAAAATATTGTTTGAGCCAAGAAACTTTTCAAAAGTTAGTATCATTTGCCCAATTAGTTCTAAATTGCCAAATCAATAATGTATAATCAGAACAACTTGATTCACCTATATCGTCTCAGTTCTACTTCCAATTCAAGACAAGTAACCACGAGGTTGAGAAATTACAGTAATTTCTTGACTGCCTGGATGCCAAAAAAAGAAAACAGTGTAGCAAGAGTTAGTTACTGACATCCCTATTATAACATAAATAAGACTACTTAGGGACATACATGCAATATTCAGATTTCACAGCTGAGACCTAATTTTCTGTACATGGTCAAAACAGTTTATAAAGTCCTGATTCATGGTCTAGTAATACCAATCTAGGAATTAACAAAACTAGCAAAATCAAAGTTTACTTGCATTATATCTGAAGTTTTACAGAAATATAAAATGATACCCCATTTTAACTTTAGCGATAGAGGTAAAATATACTTGTAATAGCATATATTATTTCAAGTTTCTATTGTGATTTATAATATTTTACTGAACAATGACTTATGGTATATCACAGACTCTATGTAATAAGAAGTGGTTTCTAATGATCAAAAACATACAAAAATCTTTTACCACAAGGAGGCTTTAAAATGTGAAATAAGTCACATGCACTGTTTCCAAAGACATCTGCCACCAGAACCATCAGTCCACTGGATTCTGAACTGCAATCACAGTCCTTCATGGACTTTACATAATCTGACAGTACCTTACAGTTATAAAAATGTCAAAATAGACAAAATATCAAAAGAGAAGGGCAAACTAGCATTTGTTAAGTACTAACCTAATTTATCAAAATGATATAATTTCTACTTGTCATGGTAATAATATGAGAAAATTCTATTATCACTATCTACCATTTACTAAGCACACCTTCTATTCCTAGCTAACAAAAAAAATTTTAGAGGACAGAAATTACATGTAAAATATCAGATGACTGAAACATTTCTACACTATTTTTTATTTTAAAAACAAGCCAAATTATATATGAATGTACTCATCTATGTGATCAGTACCGTATGAACGTACGAACAGAGTGCATGCAAAGAGTATGAATGCTCTTTGCATGCACGTGTTAACGCAAAAGGAAAGAAATTCTTCAACAGACTCTGAGTCTCCCAAATATGCTGTGTGTGACTAACAGCTGAGAGGAAATGCAACTGAAACTGTCTGCTGGAAATCCATTAAAATCTAGGCACAGAAAAATACATGGGTGACAGTATAGCTGGAGGTGCAAATTTGTGCAGGAATGTAGCCAAAGTTTTGGCAATTCCCTCATGCTCTTAGATGTACTGACAATGGCCTTTCTTTTTCAGTTGTAATGTTACATTTAAAGAACATTATTTAATGGAGTTGAAGGACCTGCTTAGTCTTTAAAACAAATAGGCTTAAAACTTGGATTTACAGAGGTATGGCATTTCTAATAATACAAACAAAAATTTGCAGAAAAAGTTCCATGATCCACAAAAACTGCCATATGCAATCAAAAAAAAAAAAAAGTCATTACCTTGAGGTGAAAAAATGCTGTTTCGCATTTCATTCTACATTTCCCTTTAAGGAAATTACTTTAAATTTTTTTCTGCAAAAGAAGTTTTTTAGGATCATTATCTTCTGGGAAGGGAGTGATTTGAAAGGAGAATTCATATTTTTAAGCACTTGCTCTTAGTATACTACCTTACAGACTTCTTTACATCCAGTATTTGCTTGTTCTTAGGAATGAACTAGGTATCTAACTCCTTTACACACCATTTAATAGCCACATTTGTTACGAGTCACTCTGCACTGAGCCCCCCCTACTATGTCCTCAATGCTGTAGAATGTGATACTAAAAAATGAAAGCATGGTATTCTCCCATTAAGAGTTTATAGCTTACTATCAGTATAGGTTTAACAAATGTATACATTCAAAGGTATAAATATTCTATAAACAACTCTAATTGGTGTGACAATATAAAATAAATTGAACATTTTGAAGGAAAAGTACGACAGTATTTTATAGGTGAGCAGTAATAAGTAAAATTGACACAGCACTTTGCACTTTTTAAGAAGTAGTTCTCATAAAATTCACTGAATCCTCAAAACAGCCCATTAATACCATATAGGGATTTTTTCCCCCATTTTACTGAAGAATCACCTGAGACCAAGAAAAGTTAAGTGAGCGAACCAAATCTACAATACTAAGTACACTAAGTAGTAGAACCAAGATTCAAACCGGGTTCTCACAGCTAAATCAAGGCTGCCACTGGATTTATGATTTTCAAGTTCTGTCACACAACAATTTCCTTTGATCCTTACAACAACCCAATGAGGTAATAGCAGCCAATATTCACCTAATGCATATTACATAGCAGGCATTGTTCTATACTGCATTAATTCACTTACTTGTCACAAAAACCCTATAAGAGGGTTAAATTATTATTTGATTTTACAGATGAGAAAACTGAGGCTCATAGAAAATACGTAAACTGCCCAAGATCACACAAATAATAGGTAGGGGGATCATAATTTAAATCCAGGGCATCTAGTTCCCACACCTTCTTCTTCACCTCATTCTTCAGTAGGTTAAGAAACTTGCCCAAAGTCACAAGAAAAGAAAATTGCAAAGGGAGAACAAGAAGCATGCATGTTAGCCCTTCACCCTAACTACTTTCCCTAAATGTAATCTGAACAATAAGGATCATTAAATCCAGAAGGGGCAAGGTGGCTTTGGAGTAGATTGTTCTCTAAGGCAGAGTATGAGCAGGTGAGAAACATCAGCAGAGTAGCAGGGAGAAGGAGTCCCATCAGGCTACAGAAGACTTATCCTCCACCCATTCGAGGCAAAAGAAAGTAAAATAAAATGTATGTGAGCAGAGACAGGCGTATTTGCCACCCTGGTGTAGGTAGTATGAACTGCGGTAGATGAAAAGGGATGAGTCTAACTAAGAAATTAGTAAACATGAAGCACAAGACTGATTTATTTTGAGAGAAAATTTAAAGCCACTGAAAGATATGGGATAGGTGTTGTAACGCCTCCAAAAGAACTGATACCCCACTCCTGCCAAAAGTACCTAGCACACAGGAAGAAATTATATAAGCACCGAAAAAAAATCTGACTACACTTTTTCCTTTTTCTTTTTCTTTTTTCTTTTTAACACTAAAATGTCATTTACAGTCTAGCAGCTCCTTTACCATTAAAGATGTTCTGTGGAGGAGAGAGAAGTGGGGAAAGGGAACATAATTGAGCATAACGTGCTTCTCGTTAGTTCTCATGTCCTGAATCTATGGTGCGGGTTACTTTAACAGGTAGACAGACCGTCCTCAGACTCATTAAAATCAGGTGAAGGAAATCACAACAAAATCCCATTTAAATGAATAAACTGAAATGTCAACCTAAATCTAAAGTACACGTTAAAAGTAGAATCTGCAATAAAGAGAAAAAAAAAATCATGGCAGAGACAGACACAATGATACCAGGACACTCTAGAAAGCAACACTTTTTAGAAGACAAATTAAAGGAAAAGTAACCCTAATGGAATTTTTTCTCTCGTTACTTAAAATAAACCAGGTCACTGTAATGGACCTACACTATGGCATTTTGTTCATTTTAATTTCATTTTTATTTCATCAAGCCATAAATTCCCATGGAAACACCTTAGACATGTGCTCACAATAATTGGAATGCTTACCCTTTCAGTATAAGTACTTTTGCATGAGTTCAACAAAATAAAAAGAATGCAATGAGGCCCCTCCGAGTTTTTTGCTTATGTCAACAGCTATTTTATGAGTACGAATTACCTTTGTGGTTATAAAGCATGTGTAAAATACATTACATGAGTGAGAAGCCTTACTGCAGACGATCCAGTAAAGGTCTGAACTGCACACAGAAACATCAAAATCAAGCTGAATTTCCTAGAATATAGCAACCACAAAATTTTCCTCCCAACGCCATTACTGTTAAATATACCTTGAAGAATTAAGTTCAAGTGTAACTACAATTGAAATATATGATTCAGCTGAGTTATGACCCATTTTTCCTCTCAAAAGCAAAAGGGAATAATGACAGTTGTGAGACTTACATTTTTCCATTCCAGGGTTTTTCTGAAAGTTATTTCACAGGGGAGCTAAAGGCAAAATGCACTTAGTGACATTTATTTGCTTTAAAATAGTTATTTATGCTACTACTCACAGGACAGATAGCATTTTAATAACAATTTATCAAATAACAATTGTATTTGGTCATTTATTTTTAAACTGTACAGACCAAGAGGCATTCAGGAAGGAAATAATCACAAAATGTCATATGATACCTAAGGCTACAATTATAACTAAATGACATATTTACATACAACAGAACCAACATACAACAGAACAAACAACCAACATGACAAATACACAAGTAACATATATATGTGATTGAAAATACCCACCCCTAGCAGAAAGCTTTTTGGTGTTGATAATTTTGGCAGCATATTCTTGTCCAGTAGGGATTTTCATACATCTTCTCACCACTGAGAATGCCCCCCTGAAAACCAATAATTAGCAGGTCATCAATATAATCAGCTCTGATATTCTATTAAAAACACACATCTGAGCATTTTTATTGAACTTAGTGAACTGTCAAATATCAGTATACCATAAAGTAATATCCAGAAAACGAACCGTTCTTCCTGGAAACTGAGACCCTCTTTAATGTTGAAAAATAAAATTAGATTTCATTAACTGGGAGCACACATTATTAATCAACAAAATGAAAAGAACTGCCAATTACGACGGCTCTTGTTTGCACATGAAATTTGAAAACATTTTACACTTCACGCTAACACAGCACCAAATGCTCTGAGAAGAAACCCTGCAAAGAGCAGAGCTGAGACGGAGCAGCAAAAAATCTGCTGCCTATTTATTTTAGTAGGAAAAAATAAAATTAATGTGGCTCCAAGTAAGTAAATATGGTGATTGTTTTCATTAAAATAAGTCTTAGGAACACTTGAGTGGGGTTTAACAAATCCTGCTATGGTGATTTCTCTGTGCCCTGTTTTGGGCTGGGGGAGGGGAGAGATTTGAATTAAGCTGCTCTTCCGACATATTCTCCATGTTTTAACAGCAGACAACATAAATATATAAGGATATGATTTTCATTACATTTAAAAGATATTTACATGTCCTTTAATTCAACTGTATAAAACAACAACACACACATAAACGCGCCCCTTCCTTAAGCAATGTTCGAAACTAGCGACAGAGGATTTGGGTTTGGGTTTGATGCTACATAAATTAACGTTCACGGCTCGGCCTCTAGATTCTTTGCACAGGTTCTCAGTAGGTCTCCTGTCCCCTTCCTTAACATCACCAAGTACAATAGTTCTGCCCGTCAGGTGTAGGAGGTCGTTGTACACAACGATGGGCTACCCTTGGGAAGCTCTGTCCCGGTCACCAAAGGGCTTTTCCGCTGCCTGTATAAATAAATCCTCCCAGAGAATGCGAAGATGTACACGTAAATCCTAGGAAGGATGATGATGAGCGAGTAATCTAGTGCAAAGAATAATCGTGGATATGGGACAGGGGTTCGAGTCCCTTGGGGTGGCCCTTTTCCTGGACAGAACAACTACTGGACGCGAAATAGACTCTACGCCAAGTTGAACTTTCGGCATCAATAAATATGGCACCGTCTGTGGCAGCGAGTTCTCATCCGTACGTGGGTCGTACGGCCGACACGCCTGCGAAGCAGGCGGCATCTCTATTTACAGAAAACATGATCTATGTTGCATTTTACATGGGTTCTTGTTTCCTCTCCATACACACAGACACACGCTCGCACACTTCTCAGGATGACAGCTACAACTGCAGGGATCGTAAATCCACCAAGTCTCTGGTGCAGAAAGGTGGGGGGAGCGGGAGAAGGTGGGCTGAGGATTATCGGAATGGGCCACAGCCGGGGTGGAAGGTCTTGCCCCTTCTTTGTCCCCTCCTCTTACTAACACAGCACCTTCCTCCGAGCTGACACACCAGGGGCCCCCCTCCCTCTCCTCCCGTCTCCCAAATTCCCTCGCCCCACGCGGGAGGCCGGTGGGTCGGGGGTAACGCGACCCGCCCTCTGCTGGAAATGGGACGTGAGGGTGCCCGGCAAAGGCGCTTACTTTCCGAGCTCCTCGAAAAGCTGATACTCGTCCGTGAACCTGGTACAGGTTGTAGTCGAAGCCATCCTGGGTCCGGGCTGTACCCCTGGCTGGGAGCGCGGCGGACAAGACGCGAGCAGACGCGCGGCTTCCCCAGGACTAGTCCCGCGGCGCTGTCACCCAGGGCCGCCCTCACTTTCCTCGTCCGAAAGTAGCTCGCCGGCGAGGGAGTATGCGCAGGGGCGGGGCGGGAGGGGAGATGACCAGAAAGGGTGGCGTGGGGTCTCCTCCCTACGGTCCGCCGATCCTCCTCCTTCTCCTCCTCCTCCGGGCCTCGCTTCCTTCTTCTCCTCCGGTCGTTCCACCCGCCCCCTTTCCAGCCCCTCTCCTCAAATGCAGGGGCAAAGTACTCAAGAAGAGGGACCGGGAAATGGAAAAACAGCCGGGCACGGGGCGAGAGGCGAGCAGTTGCGAAATGATCCGCACCGGAGCAGGAGGGGTAGAGGCGGAGGGGAGGGAGCCCGAGGGGGCGGAGGCCGCGGAGCCGGGAGCGGACAGCTCGAGCCCAGCTGCAGCTGTCAGCAGGCGCGGGGTGCGCCAGGGCCGGCCTCCCAACCGCGGGCACCTCGGCCGCCTCGCGCTCCCCACGAGCCCACGCCGCTCCGAGACTGCGCGGCGGAAGAAAAAGCGCTGGGCTCGGGCGAAACCTCGTCTGCTGTCCCCAGGCCTCCGCCTCCTCCCCGGCGCCTGGCAGCACCCCCTCCCTCACGAAGCCTCCTCTTGCTGGTCCCACACCTCCTGCTAGCGACTCTAACACTGTCCCTTTCCCACCCTCCTTTCCTCCCTCCCCGAGCCTCACACACGCGCAGAGCTGTCTAGGGAGAGACCAGGTGGGTGGAGGACGTGCGGGGCAGAAACCGGGAGAGGGTTTAGGTGAATGAGGCGAGACGTCAAAATTACAGTTAAACACGCAATTAGGCTCCTGCCTAAATGTGGGGCTGAGTTAGCGGGAATACGTGGGGTAACTCGTGGACTGCCGAGGGCTGCTGCCGGGGGTCGCAGAGGCCCCCAGCCGGGTTGTGGGCGCCGGGCTCTAGGGACCGACCCCCGCCGGCGCGCAAGCTGCGGTGCCTTAGGTAGAGGGGCGAGGGGTGCAGGCGCTTCATCTGGGCGCGGCTCCGTGTTGACACAGCGGGGGCCGGATGTGGGTAGTCGACTGTTTCCAGAGAAGGGTCCCAGCCTCCCACACCTCCCGGTGATGCTCGGGCCCACCCAGCAGAAGCCACGCCGCCTGCTTCTAGGAGCCCAGCACGGGGTTCCTCCCTCCCCCGCAGCCTCTTCGGCGAGGGGCGACGCCCGCCGTGCCACGTTTCACTTCTGATATGACTGCCACCTCACTCTCCACGTCCCCCCGCCGTTTTCTAGATTGGTTGCTCAGACTCTAGCAATCCCCAAAGGCCTTTGCTTCGGCCATGAATGTTAACAGAATGAAAGCAAAAACTCCGCCACGGGGGCCACACCTTCCCTACAGAGTAAACTCCCCTGTAACCTCAGTGAGTTCTGATAGTAAGACGGTTTCTCGCGAGATTTCCTGCTTGGCGGCGGGGGCGGGGTAGTGGGAAGGTTGGGTGTCGGTCACGCGACCTGGTAGGGTCTGACGTCACTCGCATCACGTGAACAGGTCTAGCGCCTTTCGCTTTGCAAAAGGAAAAAGGAAAAGGCGAGGTCGTGCGTGCTTTGCTTGTATGCTCAAAGATCTGGTGGGACTGTGGCACCTGAGTATACTCCGTAAATGGCTATCTGAAAAATCACTTTATAGTTCAAGAACACGTGCTGTTTATTAGCATATCTGTCATTGTTCACAGTAAATACGAGGAAAAAAATTATCCATTACATTTAAAATAGGAGACTTGCTGAGTGCTAAAACGACCCGTGGGCCTTCCTTCCAGTCCTCTGTCTTTAATAAACTATGCAATTGCAAACTTAGAAGCAGACCAAAACCGAAAGAGTTGTGAATGGTCTTTTTCAAATTACTGCCTTTTGTTTTACTGTATGGGGACTTTAAAAACCTGCAATTCTATTGCTAATTTGCATCGTTAGCATTACATCAGGGATTCAAATTTCCATAGCTGGAAGATGAAAGGTAAGTAGGAGGTCCAGAGAATCTAAGATTGGAAGGAGTTATTTCTTGCTCTCAAAGGCTGCTGTTATTTAGTGAATTTGCCCACCGTCACACATAATCCTAATTCCCTTATTTCCTGATCTGGGGAATGCTATTCTGCCAATAACTGATGTTTTTACCAAAGTTCTCAAAGTGATCACAATTTTTAACGCTTATAACAAAATTGGACTTTGTACATATTTTGATTCCTAACCATAAAAAGCAAATATTGTGTAAAATGTAGTGTACAAGAAAAGATACCAAAAACTATATGAAGAAAAGAAACAAGGTGTCTAAATATTAATAATTGGGCTAGAAAGTTGAAAAAACAATAATTTAGTCTCGGCTAAAGGTTTTTAATATATATCTTAAATATTTAGCAACATGGTTCCAAGTTATAATGTAATAATTTAATATTCTTATGTGAATCTAAAAATGAAACAGAAGTAAACTTAAAACAGATAATATAGAATTTTACAACTCTGGGGAAGAAAATTGTTTTTTAAATATTCAAGTAACGAGGCCTACATAATTACTGTATTTATCTGTTATTTAAACTACCCATAATTGTAAATGGTTATGATGATTGTGTGATACAATAAAGGAAACTGAGTTTTAATACTGACCTATTATTAGACAATAAATGTGTTAGACAATAGATGTGTACTTTTTAAGCAAACACTGCTTAATCTATATTTGCACCATTCCCTGATCTATATTTTGTACTAATTAAAATATTTCTCTTATTTAAGAAAAACTGACAGTTATTTCTGATGTTTGGACTCCTTAAGACAGTAATCCTTTGAAAGTTACACTGAAATTCCATATTATCATCTCTTGCCTCCTTCCTGGTCTCCTGCTTCTGCCCTGCCTCCTTTCATTCAAGCCTCAGCCCAAACAGCCAGAATGATCCCCTTAAAACCTCAGTCAGAACAAACGATGCTTATGCTCAAAATCTTATGAAAGCTTCACCCCATCTCAATTGGACTAAAAACAAAATACTAAAGATGGCTTATAAGGCCCTAGAGAATCTCTACCCCTACTCCATTAGCCTTCTTACCTCAATTTGTGCCCTGGCTCACCCTCCTCTGACCACACTGGCCTCGGTTGTTCCTGGAGCATGCTTCTTCTTAGGGACTTTGCATTTGCTTTTCTCTGCCTCCCAGAATGTTCATCTCTTAGTTATCATCCTATCTCATTTCTTCACCTCCCTCCAATATTTTCTCAAATATTACCTTACTGTGGTGGTCTTCCCTGCCCACTCTATCAATGACTGCACCTCTCTCAGACATGATTTCTAGTCCCATTCCCTGCTTTATTTTTCCCCTCAATACCTATTACCATATAGTGTACTATACATTTTTTTCTTGTTAATTGTTTATACTTCCCAACTAGAACACAAGCTCCCCAAGGGCATGAATTATTGTATGTTGTTCACTGCTCTATTTCTAGCAACTAGAATAATGTCTGGCACATAATAGCTGCCCGATGAATTTTGTTAATGGGTAAATTAATTATTTGGGGGTTTAGATTAATCACAATTTTCATATTAAAATTGGTAGTTGATAATTAACATACCATTAAGACATCTTACTATAAGGGTGATCATTTTCAATCAAGATGCTCACAGTATCCCATGATTAAAAGTGTTTATGCACAGAAATGGATTTTTTAAATACACAAATAATTGATATCAAGAAAAAAGGATCTAGTACTAATTTTCTTGTCATTGGAGTCCATAAAGGAAGAAGGAATTTCTGTCTTTTAGATATATTGGCCTTACTAAATTTTACACTGAAATAAAAGGCAGTGCCAAAGGTTTTAAATAACTAGAGCTCATTGTGAAGACACAAGTCAATGTAAGGAAATGAAAAGTGTGGCTTAAAGTGAATTTTTCATGTGTAAAATGAAAAAAAAAATTTCTAAACAGCATATTTGGTTTCTCAATTGATTTAGTTAATCACACAAAAATTGAGATCACTCAGTGTATTGCTTCTAACTTTCTACTTTGCTAAGGCGGAAGCAAAGTATTCATAATTTTATCAACTTTAAAAATTTACCCTTTAATATGGGAAAGGCAGTAACAGCAAACAAAGGTGAAGGGGTCGGGGGTGGGGGGTTAGGGTTGGACGACCGTTGGTTTGAAAAGTAGTTGTAAGCAGAGCCCTTTCACTACCTAGACTACTGGACTTCAATCAGGTGAAATCATGTCAGTGCCAAGACAAGGAAGAAATCTTGCTCTAAATGTGTCCCATCCCTTTTTTGTGATAGCATTAACTGACAAACAGCAAAGAGATAGAAGACACTGAAAATGATCACTACATACAAATACAACATGAGAATAAAAGATAGAGCTCTTGTAGATAAAAATTGCAAGACTTCAGTAGTCCCACTAGGAAGGGATAAATTTCTAATACTTAAACAAAACAGCTATTCACAGTCACTCATTTCCCTTGCTACAAAGTTACATACAAGAAACAAGGAAGAGATGACTATCTCCATAGCACCCCCAAAGGCCGAATCCATCCGTAGTATGTATATTTCTGTGAGAATTTTAGCAGGGTCTGTATTGTAAGCCACTCTTCACTGCAGTTTTAGAGGCAAGGAGAACAAAGCAACTTGCTGTTGCTTTTTTCAGTTAGTCTTCCTAAGGTACAGGAACTTAACCACATAGAGCCCGACACAAATACAGTCTACAAGTAAGTGGATAATCTATTCGCCACACCATCCATTTGTGCAAGATAAATTTACAGATGAAGAAATTAACTGTTGGGACTTCCCTGGTGGCGCAGTGGTTAAGAATCCACCTGCCAATGCAGGGGACACGGGTTTGAGCCCAGGTCTGGGAAGACCCCACATGCCACGGAGCAACTAAGCCTGTGCGCTACAACTACTGAGCCTGTGCTGTAGAGCCCACGAGCCACAACTACTGAAGCCCACACGCCTAGAGCCCGTGCTCCGCAACAAGAGAAGCCACCACAATGAGAAGCCTGCGCACCGCAAGGAAGAGTAGCCCCTGCTCGCCGCAACTAGAGAAGGCCCATGCGCAGTGACAAAGACCCAACACAGCCAAAAATAAATAAAATAAAAAATAAATTTTAAAATGCTGTGAATTCAGAACACAATGATTTAAAAATTTATTAAAAAAAGAAATTATTCATAAAACAAAAGGCAGTAATAGAAAAGGTTTTCTTTGCTTCATCAGATGCTGAATTTTTTTTTTACTCAAAATAAAAAATGTGCAAATAAACAAGAAAATAAACGATATCCACCCAATCAAAAAGTAGCTCTTTTCCCATTACTTTCAAGTATACGGGTTAGCATACTATCCTCCATGAACATACATACATACCTACCACTGCTAAAGGAATTGTAGCAGGAAATTATATTGAGTATGATGTACAAATTGAAGCAATTGTGTAAAAGATTGTGGAGTCATTAACAAAGAAAACGAATTAGCAGAAGCTGAGTATTCCTCTCGAAACCCAGCAGGACCCTGTGGGGCTCCTGGGCACAGAAGGCTTTCTGTCCCCCATTTTCTTGTTTGTAGGGAGTTCCAAAGGGCAGATTCTAACAGTTGCTAATCAAGGGAGAAGCAGCCCAAAAATCACCTGAGGCAACATTAAAGGAACCAGAGAAACTCATCAAGAACACCTGAG